CTACTTCAGATAAAAAGGAAAAGGCAAAGGAGCAGCGACAGCCAGGGCTCACGGCACACACTGGGAACCCCATGTGTGAGGCAGGATGATTACAAGTGTGAAGCTGGCCTGGATACAGAGAAGATTCTATAGCAAGAACAAAGAGGGCTGGGTATAGTGGTACACAACCTCTAATTCCAGCACTCTGGAAACAGAGGCAGAGAGATCTCTGTAAGTTCAAGACCAGGCTGGTCTACATGCTAAGCTCTAGGACAGCCAGAGCTACACAGTGACAACTTGTCTTAAAAAAAAAAGAAAAGAAAAGAAAAACAGTAAATCATAAACTACTCAGTAAGATAAGAAAGCATAATTAGGTGTAGGTATAATCAGTAAGCTGAATTTGCTAAGTAGCAAGAGTTTATTTAATTTCAAAGTATCTTATGTAAAATATTCAATTATATAGGAGAAAAGAGTAACTTGACAATGGTAACAAGAGGCTGTCACAACCTTATTAAGCAATTAAAATGGTGGTTTTCAATTATGGGAAATCAAAACTGTGCAACATGATAGGATGTAATGAAGGTCAATATAAAGTAACAGAAATGCAATCATCAGAAAACTCAAATTAAAGAACATCTCACAAAATAATTGTTTTATAAAATCTTAAGTGTGTCAAGGTTACAAACATCAAGAAAGTACTGAAGCTGGGCATGGTAGAGCATGCGCCTTTAATCCCAACATTCAGGAGACAGAGGCAGGCAGATCTCTCTGTGTTCCAGGACAGCTTGGTCTACATAGTCAGTTTCTGGACAGCCTGGGCTATGTAGAGAGACCCTGTCTCAAAAAAAAAAAAAAAAAAAAGAAAAAGAAAAAGAAAAAGAAAAGAAACCACTGAAGAAACAACTTCAAAGGAAAGGATATTAAACACACATAATAACTAATACAACATGTAATTCTGGATTGTTTCTTTTGCTATGAAAGACACTAGGAGAAGTAGAGGAGTCAGAATAACACCTGTAATGAAGCAGTGTTAATTTCCCAGCCTGGGTGTTTTCATTATCATTATGTAGAAGATCTTTAAGGAAATGAGAATGTGTCATATTAATGGTGGGGCAGGTCAACAACTTCCCAAATGACTAAGTAGAAGGAGAACTTACTCAAAAAAAAAAAAAAAAAAAAAATTACAAGTAAAATCAAAGGAAGGCGAGAAATAAGAACACCATGCTTGGAAGTGTGACTACATGTTATCATGTAATATGCTCCTCTCATGTGCTGATTAACAAGCAGACAAATACAGCAAAGGGAAAGATTCAACAGCTCACCTGACAAGCTAAACCAGATTGTTCTCTACCCCACACAGCAACAGCAGAACACACAATCTTTTCAACCACACATTGGTCAAAATAAAATATCATGAAGCAATTCTGAACTTAAATATAGTGAGGTCATTCAGAGTAACCACCATGACCACAATGCAGTTAAGAAACACAGAGCACCAGTCAATGGGACAAAGAAGAAACTGAAAACTACATAAACACATAAACACTCTCTATAAACATATTAGAAAAATGCTAAAAATTAACAAAAAATGAATACATTAAATTGTTTACTCTCAAGAGGGTAGAAAAACAAATTCCAGATGCAAAATAGAAGATAAAGATAAAAGTAGAAATTAACAAAGTGAAAACACACACTAGAGATGGCTTACCAAAACTCCTATCTTAAAACCTTAACAAGATCGATGAGATTACCAGTATCAGAAATTAAAAAAAAAAAAAAAGCTAATGTCACAACAGGATATCACCATGTCAACTTAGAATAGGACAAAGTTTTCAAAAAGTCTTTTTTCAAAACTGACATGAGAAAAAAATCTGTATAGTCACATGCATTAAACAAATTGAACCAATAATAAAAACTCCCATCTATGACAATTTCATTGATGAATTCTAATAACTGTACAAAACTAATTCCAAATCTTCACAGATTATCAATACTTTCAGGAAGTCAGTTCAAGCCTGGAAGTTTACAAGTGAATACTTCTCTCATGAGCACAGCTGTAAAAAAGCCTTAAATATTAGGCAACCATATCAACATAGGATATAATGAATTAAGGATGTAGACAGTGATCTCTGCAACCACAGTAATAGTTTCCCTCCATTTCTGATGTTTGATCACCAACTCCTTTTAAGACTTTCCCTCCTTTCCCACTTTGGTCCTTTAGCTAGAGAAGCTGGCAAAAAAGTCTGTTCCCTTTGGTACCAGCAGGAAACTTAGGCCCTTCTTGAATGTCTTCTGCTCTAGCTACTATTAGCACAACTCATTTCGTTCGCTTTGGTCAAGTCAGCCCAGACCTACTTATGGCCAGATCTCCCCGAGATTCTTTTGTGTGAATGATAAACTTCTTTTCAAATTCTCTTGGTATGAAGAGAACCAAATTTTGAGCATGAAACCATCTTGCTAGTGCCAGGATAACCAAGCAAACATGAAAAAATTAAAGATAAGGGGAATACAATTTTTAATTATGGGAAAACGTTAGCATTTGGAGGTAAAATGTCTCTAATTTGGTCCCTAGCCCTAGCCAATGGCCACTCTTTTAGGAGGTTGTAGAAGCTTTAGAAGGTGGTTCCTCACTGGTAGATGTGGGAGCAGGCACTGGCAGTTGTAGCCGGCCCCACTTCCAGCCCAAGCCTCTCTTCTCCCTGGTTTGCTGAGATGCAACAAGCCCCCTCACAAATTTCTGCAGTCACAATTCCAGCCATTTCAGTCACTGTGCCTTCTCCACCATGATGAACTGTGTACTCCCAGCTCAGCCTGCATAAACCTCTTTCCCTGATGTTATTCATCTGGAAGGAAGTATTATTGGCCTATTCCATTCGCTTTTTTCCTCTTTTTAATTATTTATATCAGTATAGACTCAGGAATATCTCTTTCATACTTCGAGTTGTAATTCAGTACTTAAGTTATTCAGTTTCTGAGAGTGATTTCAGAGCTTTGCCCAATTCCCACTCCAGCCTGGAATTAGTCATTTCTCTTAAGAACCTCCTTTCTTTTGTATACAGCATAGTATTTACGCTATTTACAACCCCAAATGCAAGCTCCAGATTTGCTCAGCTGTTACTGGATGCCATAGCTCCTAACCCTCTCACTGACTTAAGCCAACAAGTCCCAAGATCTGTCTGTCTCCGCAACCACAATGCTGGGACTACACAGGACCACTCGGATGTCTGGCTTTCAGCATGGGGACTAGAGATCAAATCAGGTCCTTGGACGTTCAAGGCAAGCACTTTTCCAGAAGCACTACCCACCCTCCCAGACCACAGAAACAATTTCTCTAATTTTCAAGATTTAAAAAACAGAAATTGAGTTAATGATTAATGGTATCTACCTCTAAGATTCTAAGTATATACAATGTAAACATTCACCATGAAGCTCAGCATTTAGTACATTCTCAATAAACAGCATCTTTACTAGTTCATATTTGCAATAATTTATTTTCTTCTCATTCATAGTTTTACCTCAATTTTAAAGGAATTCAGCTGCAGTAAATTTATTTCAAACCTTGAAGGGTATAATGAATACTGTATACAAATTTGCTATACTTTGAATTTCTAAGCATTATAAAAAATATCCATCACTTCCCATGATTTATAATATTCAAGACAGAGGTTGGCATCTTGGATTTTTTTTACTCAAATCCAGTTATTAATCACTTCAGCTTTGTAAAGGACCTTTGAACTTCTCAACCGTTTTCTTGTGCATCTCCTAATAAGAGTGCCAAAGAAATTAAAGTTCATCCACAAGAAATTTAAGTAGTATTAAAGAATGTGCAAGACACATCTATGTAGGAAAGCAGGTTCTTGCTTTGCTTAAATAAGCTGCTACTGAGCCAGGCTCTTCAGCATCATTTGGCACAAGGGGCAATGTTAGCGAGTTGTTTTCCCAGTCAATCACGGAATCAAGTTGTCATGAAGACTAGATAAGATTGTATATCAATGTCACTTATGCCAGGAGATGTTAAATAAACACTTCCCCTTCCTCCTTCCCAAGCCTTGGGCTTTCCACTGTAGTATCCTACCTTAACCATTAACACACAGGTAATTCTCTTTAGCTATAAAAGATTTATGAAGGGAAAACTAAATCAGTGATGAATTACTAATATTAGGCTGAGTAAGACAAGCCTATTAACCTGTCCATAAATTCAGTTTCCATTCCTGTAACACAAGGTAAGAGAGGCTTCACATCCAGAAACATTATAATGATATTTTTTACTGCTGGGCTGGCTAAAGTGATGGGGAATTTTTTAAATCTCTTGTAAATAGTGTAATAGAGAAATCATGAGCTAGAAAGAGAGGAGAGAAATACAAAGAGCATATGCAAGTTAATCATGACTGTGAACTTAAATGGACTGAGAAATGATGGGATATATCTGAGGGTATTTGCAGAGCTAATTAGATCATGACAACTCTGATCTAAGAATTGTTTTAAATTACTGACGGATTCAAAATATGAACAGACTACTGGGAAATGGTAGAACTGTTTAAGTGGGGAATAGCTGGAAAAATTACATCACTGGGGGCATTTTCTTGGAGGTTCCTCCACCTTATCCTCTTGTAGCCATATAATATGATGTTGGAGCAAGCAAACGTCAGCTGACCCCCCTCTAAATATAGACCAAAACAAATCTCTCCCCACTTACATTTCAAACTCCCAGGAAATCATCAGTGCATCTCCAACATAAAATGAAGTAGTAAATTGTACCAATGGATGACCAAAGGTTCTTTTTAAAGTTTTAGATTTCTTATATCTGATGTCAAATCTTACAAAAAGCTCTTCATGTTACTTCACATGTTCACTGATTTATATACCTCTTAAAAGACTATCAGACCAGTTAGATTCAATCTCCTATAAAGAAATTACACTGCCCTCTGCCCTCACCCCCACCCCAGTCTTCCCATTTCCTTAACTATTTTAAATCCTTTGTTATACATTCCATCAGTTTGCCTGTTATCACAGTGACTCACCCATCTGCAGATACTGGAGTCCCCTCTGGTTTGGAATATCCTTCCAAATCTGAAATGTTCACTTGTGTTTGCCTTGAGGTTACTATCTGGCTATTCTGAGGAGGTTTGGTTTTCAAGTCCTGAGAAATAGTCTTACTATCTGGAAGAGAAGACTGTGCGACTTGCAAGTCCGGTGGAGGTTTAGGTCCTAGAAAACCTAAAGATTCTTGATCCTGTGCTATAGGTTTACAGGTCAGTAATTTGGAGGTTGGTTCCAATGACCTTGAAGATATAGTTCGAAGATCAAAGTTAAACTCACTATTAATCCTTGTTTTAGAAGCAGGATCCAATGAATGAAACCTTTCATCTAAGGTTCCACAATCCAACGTGGAAGAAGTCTTGGGACAAAGAGTTATACGAACACATGAAAGTGCTTTTCTATTCGAAGGTGAAGTAGATGCAGCTGTACAGTGGTCAGGGGCTGACTGGGAGATCAAATTACTGACCTTGGCTTCAACATTTATCATATTAGAAAAGTGAGATTGAGGTATATGCTGAATCTTTTCTACTACCCAATCCTGACCTTGACAAAGAGGGAACTGCTGTTTTCTCATGTGGTCGTCTACATCTGGGGATTTGCATTGTTGCTGATCAAGAAAATCGGGAGAAGGAAGATCTGCATCTAAACAATCCTGGTGCTTAGGAAAGAAAGAATGGTCTTCTCTGTTTTCATGATCTACATGTGGGGCGTTGCTTTGTTCAAAGAGTTCTCGCTGTTCAAGAAAAATGCAAGAAGCAATGTCTGGACAGAAGGGAGAAGAGTATTTTCTCATCTCGTGATCTGTATGTGGGGTGTGGCTTTGTTCAAAGAGCTCTCGTTGTTCAAGAAGAATGCAAGAAGGAAGATCAGGAGTTATAGCTACATTCTTCTCTTTTACTTCTAGTGTAGGACTTAGTTTGTCTGGGCTAATAATGGTATCCTTACCAGAAAACTGAACTCCCTTGAAACTTGCACTGACACTGGGTTCAGAATGACCAGCTTTAAAATCTGATCTTTCTAAGAGTTTTCCTTTTTGATGAGAATGATCAAAATCAACAGGTAATTTTTGCCTTTGCCTACTACCTTCAGCTAAAATAGTCACTGGTGAATGACTATGCCTTTTAAGTGATGAAGGGGAAGAGGTTTTCTGTTTAAGATCTCTAGGAGAAATCTGCTCTTCAGGGATATGTGACTTAAACACTCCTAAAGATGGTCTGGTACACTGGCTACCTTCAGTAACACCAACCTTAAAAACAGAGCTATCAGAAATGCACTTAGAGTGTCCGTGAGAAGAAAAAGTGATGGAGGTAGTGAACTGCTTCTTGGGTTCAGGGGGAAGTATTTGTGATGAGGAAGGGAAATCCATTTCTTTAGCTGGCACACAAGAAGGTTCTACTAATCCCAATGGCTGGGGGTCCATGTATGCATGGAATGGCATTCCAACACCCTTGCTAATTTTGATGTCATCTGGTGCAAGTTTTTGAAATGGGGGATGACTCTGTAACTGAAAGGAATTCCAAACTTTAAAACGGGTATTGCTCTGATCTATCGATCTGGAAAGGTTGATGTGCCTGCCTCTCCATGATGATGGGTTCCGTTGTCCTCTAGTTACATCTGAAGATTCAACAGATCGGAAAACAGAATGGCGGCTGTCTGGTCGTGGTTGTTCAGCAGTTAGAGTCCTGAAACATCCTTTCTCATGGCTCTCAATAACAATGTGACTGCATACAGCCTCGGGCACACAACCTATTCCCCGTGGACTCCGTAAGCCCTAGAAGATATAAATAGTTTTCCACATAAAGTAATCCAAAGTCATATACTGATCAGTTTTATATCCAAGCTAAAAATGACCATGAAAATCATCTCATCTGTCTATAAGACAGGTCAAAGGAACAGCAGGAAAAACAAAACTTTGCAGGATAAAATGGCTCATGATAATGAACAGCACTTAGGAAACTCTTAAAAGTGTTCTACTTGGAGCTGGAGAGATGGCTCAGTGGTTAAGATCACTGGCTGTTCCTTCAGAGGACGCATGTTCAGTTCCCAGCACCCACATCAGGCAGGTCCCAACATTGTGTAACTTCAGCTCCAGGGATTCAATGCCTCTGGCCTCCAAGGGCACCTGAATTCACATACACATGCCTACATGCAGACACACACATTTATACATAAACAAAAATACAAAAAATAGCAGTGTGTAGTGGTGCACACCTTTAATTCCAGCACTTGGGAAGCAGAAGCAGGCAATTCTCTCTGAGTTTGAGGCCAGCCTAGTCTACAGAGCAAGTTTCAGGCCAGCCAGGGCTATGCAGAAAAACCCTGTCTCAAGAAACCAATAATAATAGTGGTGGTGGTGGTGGTGGTAGCAGTAAATAAATAAATCCTAAAAAAGAAAACACACACACACACATACATACACCAAAACAAAACAAAACAAAAAGCAAAAACCAAACTCAAAAATCAGCAGTGGGACTGTGAGTGTCAGGTCAGGTGCTTCCCTACCATGTATGATGGTGTAAGTTGGATCCCCAGCACAACACACATGCAAACAAACAACAAAAAAGAGGACACATAGATATGTCAATAAATAGGACATAAAGACGAGAAACGGAAATGAAAAGAATGTTCAACATCAAAAAAATTAGGAAAATGTAAATCAAAACCACAATAAATACTTAGGAAGCAAAGGTAGACAGATCTCTGTGGTGATATCTTGTGTGCCCCAATAATGCTTGCCTGGGAATCAGAGGACAGAGCCAAACACTAATTAGACATAGAGGTCAGGCAGTGGTGGCACATATCTTTAATCTGTATGAACCTCTCTGAGTTCAAGGCCACACCAGGCTACATGAGAGAAACAGAACCAGGCAGTGGTGACACACACCTTTAATCTCAGGAAGTAATATGGCAGGACACAGAAAGGTATATACGATGTGAGAAAATAGGAACTTGTTTTCTTGAAGCTAAGAATTTTGTAAAGGCTGGCTGTTCTGCTTCTCTGATCTTTCAGCTTTCACCCAAATAACTGTCTCTGGGTTTTTTATTATAAGACCTTTTAAGATTCTTGTTACAGATCTCTGTAAGTTTGAGGCTGGTCTGGTTTACACAGTGAGTTCCAGGACAGCCAGAGCTACTTCTTAGTGAAACCCTGCCTCAATAAATAAATAAATAAATAAATAAATAAATAAATAAATAAATAAATAAATAAATAAATAAAAATAAAACAAGACAAAAAATAAGCAAACAACAACAACAAAAACCCCACAATAATGTGTTGCTCTAGGAGCTGGAGGGATGGCTCAATGGTTAAGAGCACTTACTGCTCTTATAGAGGACCAAGGCTCAGTTACCAGCTCCAGGGGATACAATACCCTCTAGCCTCCACGGGCACCTTTATGTACACATAAACATGCAAGCACATTCATATGCACATACACAAAAGTGTGTGTGTGTGTGTGTGTGTGTGTGTGTGTGTGTGTGTTAAGTTTCACTACAAACCTAGCAGAACAGCTAAAACAATGTCAATACCAAATGCTGCTGAGGATATGGGGTAAGTGGATCACTTACCCTTAAATGATAGGTTAATTTGATAACCCAAATTAAGCTCCTGGACACTGACATCACATAAACAAATGCATATTCCCAAAGAAAGCAAAATGAATATTAGGCAACTTTTGTTTATAAAGCCCAAGATTGAGAAACCACTAAAATGTTCTTCACAGGTGAATATTTAAACATACTATGGGGCATCCACAGCAACACAAAAGGAAAGCTATTGATAAAGTAATACCCTATGAGTTTCTAAGCAATTCTTCTTAACTCAAATATTTCAGTTATTCTGAATGGAAAAGGCCATACAAAAATGACTTCATTTTTATGATATTTTTGACATTACAAAATATAGAAATGAGGACTAGACAGGTGGTTGACAGGTGTTAAAGAAGAGGTGGGAGGAGCAGCATGGATGTAATTATGACAGCCTTAGTTTGTGAAATACCGATTTTCAGTATCCTGACTGTATTAAAGCCAATGTCATGACTGGGATCGATCATTAAAACTTTGCAAGACATTGGCTGGGCACAGTGGTGTATGCCTTTAATCCCAGCACTCGGGAGGCAGAGGCAGACAGGCAGATCTCTGTGAGTTTGAGACCAGTCTAATCTATATAGTAAGTTCAGGACAGCCAGACCCTGTCTCAAGGACAACAATTGCTCTTAACCACTGAGCATTTCTCCAGTCCCATCTCATGCTGATTCTATGTAAAATTCAAAAGCATACCGAAGAACAGAGAGTCAACACATGTCAGAGTAAGAAATACAGACATAGCTAAGAAAGGAGATCCAAAACATTTTAATGGCATTTGTCAGGGGTAGGACCGCGTTGGTTTGGTTGTATTTTTTTGTTTGTTTGTTTGTTTGTTTTTAAAGATTTATTTATTTCTTATGTATACAGTTCTGCCTGCATACCAGAAGAGGGCACCAGATCTCGTTATAAATGGTTGTAAGCTAAAATGTGGTGGCTGGAAATTATACTCAGGACCTCTGTAAGAGCTGCCAGTACTCTTAACCTCTGAGCCATCTCTCCAGCCCTTGGTTTGTTTTTTGAGAAAACAATCTTATTAAATAGCCTTGAACTTGCCATCTCTGGCCTAAGCCTCCCCAATACTGGGATTAAAGTGCACATGCTCAGCTCAATGGCATCTGTTAATGTTCTGTAATCACAGGAATTAACTTCTCTTTAGATAAGTGCGTCTATTCAAGAAATGGCTCACTAAAGGAAGAAAACAAACATTTAAAAGGAAAGCTGCTCTTAGATAAAAACTACTTTAACTCTATTCTTAAAATACAACTTCTGAAACTGAGTTTCCACCTGAATTGCAAGATGTAAAGGAGACATTTAACCTCTCAATTGTAAAATTACATTGGCAAGTCAGGCATGGTGGCACACGCCTTTAATCCCAGCACTCAGGAGGGCAGAAGCAGGTGATCTCTGAGTTCAAGGCTAGCTTAGTCTACAGAGTGAGTTCCAGGATAACCAAGGCTACACAGAGAAACCTTGTCTTGAATAATTAAACAAAAAACAAAAATAAATCAGCAAAACAACTCAATTCTTGTTTTACTACTATGATAATTTAGAATTAATCCAAACTTATAGAATCTAGTCCTTCAATTTTAACTTTTAGAGAATTAAGACTCTAATAAAACTTTACCCTAAGATTATCAGCAACTCCTCTGGAGTCATCAATGCCAACTAAGGGCTCTAATTTCTACTGTCCTTTGTTTCAGTTTCAGTTTTCATTTCTACATTTCTTTTATACCTCAGACACGTGAGTTGCTCTTCCATGACCAAACAACTTCGCCTTTATCTCTTCTACTTTCCTCCTGTCGTCCTCATTTAATTCTGAAATGGAGTATCCATAGTCATGTCCTAAACTAAGCTTTAGGTTCCAGGCTGGAGAGAAATCACAAACAAACAGTTGATATTTAAAAATTGTGAAACTGGTCATTTTTCAATGACTACATGAGCAAAGAAAACCAGCAACATCTGCCCCTGACTGCCAACACAAAGCTCAGCACGTGGTCTCAGTGTGTGACACATCAAGAGCTCTTAAGAGGTCACTTCACTGAAAAGTCGACCCACCCTTCAAAGCAGGGTATTTCTATGTAATCCAGGGAAACCCTGAACTCAGGATTTCTGTGCCTTAGCCACCACAGTTTTTAAACCATCCTCCAAGATGGACTTCCAAAGGAGCCACTCTAAATATGATATTTAAATCGTTAATCTTAATTTTTCTTATAATCAGAGTCTCTTTATCTCCCGTCTTGGTACCTGCTATGGTTACTAACACTTTTACGGTACCTAATAGAGAGATTTTGACAGAATCAAAATGTACAAGGAATGGCACAGTCAGTTAACCTCAAGATTCCGAGTCAGTCCTGAACCACTTACAAGTTACTACCCGAAACATTTCCTCATGTCTTCAAGATTGTTACATCTCCTTTACAAAGATTCTACTAGAGATTAATGAGGTTAATAAACATCGCCTTTTAGACTTCTAAAAGTTTTAGTACTAAAGACCTTCGTAAGTGTTTTTGCCTTATATCTTAGATCAACTCCAAAAATTTCATTAGAAAACAAAGAGAAAGCTACATAGTTTTAGAGCACAAAATAATTTACAGAAGAGTAAATTGGAGGCATTTGTGTCCCCAAAACAAGGACATTACAATGAGAGAATTAAAGAAGCCCAAACTACTTTCTTATTGTCCATCTGACATGAGAATCTCCTTCGCCTAAAATCATAAACTCAGAATAGCACTACTAATCATATAACTTATTTATATCATTGCTTCTGTTTTCCAGGTTTTGGATAGAAAATATAATCATTCTACAGTTCTGTAAGAAAATAAATTAGAACTTCAAATGTCCCATTTTAAACGGCTAAGCTATAATGTTCACAAGCCTGAATGTGCCTGTATAAGTCAGTCCTTACCTTGGGCTCGGACCCGACACTCCTCTTCCTCTGCATTTCTAAGTATCTGTTTGGCTTGATTCAGTGAGGATTCGCACTGAAGAAGGTACTTCACGTGTGCAGCCAGCGAATCTACACTACCACAGCCGTCCTCACTCTCTGACAGTCCCTCCTCTTCTCGGCTATCTGTTATGCTTGTCTTGGGTGAAGTATATGGAAAGAAGTTTAGAAAAACATCAGAAACAGACTCCAAAGACTCCGGTAAATTACTGTCCCATGAGCAGCAACCATCACTTACATCACTACTCGAGTCACTCTTTATGATTGTCATCATAGGGATAATAATTTTATTCCCAATGCCTGTACTGCAACCTTCAGGTTCAGACCTCATTACAGACCTGGAAGCTTCATACCGCCTGAAAGTTTCATCAAATGCCATTCTCGCTGTGTCTTCTGCTCTCTGGAGAGGACTTCTAATCGCAGTTGAGCTAATAAACTCCCAATTTTCAACACCCCTCTGGCACTTGAGGTTCGTCTGTGTGCCAATGTCCTTCTGTACACACTCAATGTGAGGGACCTCCTCTGTAAATAGCTCCCTCTGGGTACAAACGTCAGTTGTGGAGGGTTCTTTGAAGCAAACTACCTTCTTGGATTGTATTAACGAAACATCGTTAACATCTCTGAAAGGCACTAAGGGAGCAGGGAAATTGCATCGTTTCAGTGCTATATTTTCTGCCTCCATTAAAAGAGTCTGAATTTCTTTAAGAGTTTTGGAACCACGATCGGTATCCCGGACTTCCTCACAGCCAACATCACCAAAACCTGAAGATTCTGGCTTACATATGATAACTCCATCATCAATCTGCGAATTTAAAGGCATACTGTTTGCAATGAGAGAACAAGACTCAGGAGAATTCAAATTATCTATCAGTTTTTGGACATGTTCTGAGACAAGTTGGTGCCTTTCACTGTGTGAATAAGCATCAGGAGAAACTGTAGGTAAACCAGAAATCTGGTCAGCTTGACCAAGAGAACCTGAAACCTTCAGAGCATCTTCAGTTAGATGTCTGTCTGGCAGTTCCTGTGAGTATCCATAGGATGTATCCGATTTCTCTCTGTGTGAATATGAACCAGACAGAGGTACTGGTACACCTGTGTTTACAACAGTTGGCTCAGAGACAGTTGAAATCTTCGGAATATCTTCACTTTGATCTCTATCTGGTAACTGTTTTTGAACAGAAATAACAGGTTTTACTTTTTGAGGGTAGGAACCATGAAAAGCTGTTGGTAATGGAGTCTTTTGATCATCTGGTCCAACCACAGATGGAATTGCAGGCTTCTCTCTATGTAGGTAGGACCTATGAGTAACTGTTGGCAACTCAGTCTTCTGGTCATCCAGCGGATCTGCAGCTGAAATCTTGTGCTTCTCCTTCTGTGAGTAGGAACCAGATAAGACTGCAGGTCTCCTATTCTGGTCAGATAGTCCAGGAACAGTTGAAGCCTTCAGAGAATTTTCAGTTAGAACATGATCATGATCTGGTGAGGCCTTCTGATAAAAGTCACTGAACTTTTCTCTGTGGAAGTAGGAACTGGAAGGCCCTGTTGGAGTCCCACGTGTCTGTGTTGCAAGTGCAGAACCAGCTGACACTTTCAGAGCCTCTTCTGTGGGATGGCTGGCTGGCAACTCCTGGGGAGAGAAAGCACTGGCCTCTCTCTGTGGGTAGTAACTTAAAGGTTCTGTTGCTTTCCCAGCCTTCTGGACAAATGGTACAGGATGAACAAAACCACCTAATGCATCCTTACCAGTGCTTGGCAGTTCCTGTTGATGAAAACCACTGGGCTTCCCTCTACTTGAGTAGGAAACTATTGGTGCCCCAGTCTTCTGATGAGTCGCGCCAGGCCCTGTTTTCAAAGCTGTTTCAGTAAGCTCTGGTAAGTCCTGCTGGTAAGAGGTGAGGGGTGCCTCATCCTTTGTGTAAGGGACAGAGGGCACTACTCCAGGAACATCCAAAACTCGCAAAGCTTCTTCAGTAAGATCTGGCAACTCCTGCTGATAAGAAACAGCAGGTATCTCTCTGTATAAGGGAGTAGAGGGCACTCTTGGTATTTCAGTTTTCTGTTCAGTAGGTCCAACACTACCTAAAATTTCTACTTCCAAAGCTTTTTCACTAAGATCTGGAAACTCTTGCTGGTAAGAAACAGCAGGCCTCTCTACATATGAGTGGGAAGTAGAAGGCACTGTTGGTAGCCCAGTCTTCTGGTCAGTTGGTTCAGGAACAACTGAAACTTTCCCAGCGTTTTCAGTTAGAGGCCTATCTGGCAACTCTTGGTGGTAAGAAACAATGGTATTTTTCTCTAGATTTGAGTATGAAGAAGAGGTAATGAGAGGTAGTCCAGTCTTCTGGTCAGCTGGTTCAGGAGCAACTGAAACTTTGCGACCTTTTTTAGTTTGCTGACTCTCTGATGTGCCCTGCTGGTAGAAAATAATTGGCTTTTCTCCAAAAGAATAGGAAGTAGAATACACTGGTGGCTCCCCAGTCTTCAGGTCGACTGGTCCAGGAGAAGCTAAAATGTCCAAAGTTTCTTTAGGAAGATGACCATCTGGCAAGGCCTGTTGGTAGAAAATAATGGACTTCTCTCCAACTGGATGGGAACCTGAAGGTCCTGCGGGTGTACCAATCTTCTGCTCAGTTGGCCCAGGAATAGCAGCCACTCTGAAAGTCTCTGTTGTCAGGGGACTGCTTGGCAAAGTGTTTTGGTAGAAAATAATGGGCTTCTCTCCAATTGGGTAGGAACCTGCTGGTCCTGCTGGTGTGCTAGTCTTCTGCTCAGGTAATCCGGAAATCCCTGGTACTTTGAAAGACTCTGCGGATAGAGGGTTACCTGACAAGCCTGGCTGGTAGAAAATAATGGACTCTTCTCCAGGAAGATAGGAAGTAGGAGATACTACTGGTACCCCAGTGTTCTGGTCAGGTGGTCCAGGAGCAGCTGAAACTTTCAGAGACTCTCCAGGCAAATGACCACCTGGCAGAGCTTGCTGGTAGAAAATCTGAGGCTTCTCTCTTTGTAAGGAGGAAGTGGAGGCTACAGATGGCATAGCAATGCTTTGGTCAGCTGGTCTAGTCATAGCTGAAGCTTGCAGAGCCTCTTCAGATAGAGGACCTGACAGGGTCTGTTGGTAGAAAATACCAGGCCTCTCTTTTTGTAAATAGGACACTGCTGGTGTCCCTGTCTTCTGGTCTACTGATCCAGTTGTACCTGAGACTTTCTGGGCATCTTCAGTTAGGTGGTGGTCTGGAAACTTCTGCTGATGAGAAATACTGGGCCTCTCTTTATATGAGTGGGAAGCAGAGGTTACAGTTGATATGCCAGATAGCTCATCAGATGGTTTAGAAACAGATGGAGCGTTGAAAGCTTCATGAAGGGTTGGCTGGTAGGGGAAAATAGGCTTCTCTGTGTGTGATGGAGAAGTAGGGAGTACTGTTGACAGATCAGTCTTCTGGTCAGCTGGTCCTGGGATCAATGTTTTTGTAGACTTTTCTGCTGAATGACTATCTGGTAATTCCTGCTGATAGAAAACACCGGGAACCTCACCATATGAGTGAGAAATCCCAGACTTCTGGTCAACTGGTCCAGATACAAGTGAAACTTTCTGAGTCCCTGCAGGTACATGACTGTCTGGCCACTCTTGGTGATAAGGAACAATAGTTTTCTTTTTGTGCTGGTAGGAACTAGAAGACACTGTTGGAATGTCAGCCTTCTCGTCAGCAGATCCAGAATCAATGGAAACTTTCTCAACATTTTCAGGCAGGTTCTTGTCTCTGTAAGAATACGAAACAGGTAATTCTGATGGTAAAGGAGTCTTCTGGTCACCTCGGCCAGGAATAACAGAAACGGGCAATGCTTCTTCAGTTAGATGACTGTCTGATAATGTCTGCTGGTAGAAAGTTTTAGCTGTCTCTTTATGTGGCTGAGAAGCAGAGGTTACTGTTGAGGACTGGGTCTTCTCAGTTGATCCAAAAACAGCTGAAACATCCAAAGGCTCTTTGCCTGGATGACTTTCTGACAGAGGATGTTGATAGAAAACAGGTTTCATTCCCTTTGAGTGATAACTAGAGTATATTGTTGACATTTCGGGCTTCTGGCCATCTGGCCTAGAAGCAGATGACACTTTCTGAGTTTCTTCAATAAAATGCCTATCTGGCAACTCTTCTTGGGGAAAGCTGCCAGGCTTTACTTCATGTGAGTAGGTGGAAGAGACTACTGTTGCTCCCATCTTCTGGTCAACAGATCCAGGAGCAACAGAAACTTTCCAAGGCTGATGACTCAAATAACTTTCTGGCAAAGCCTGCTGATAAAAAGTATGAGCCTTTTCTCCATGTGAAAGAGAAGTCGAGGACAGTGCAGTTATCCCAATGTTCTGGGCAGCTGGTCCAGGAAGAACTGAACCTCGCACAATCTCTTCACGTAAATGACTGTTTGGCAACTCTTGTTGGTAGAAAATAGTAGGTCCTTCATATGTGTGGGAAGTAAGAGGTGAAGCTGGAACATCAAACTTCTGGTCGGTAGGCCTAGGACCAGCTGAAGTTTTCATAATGTCTTCAGGTAAACGACCACCTGCCAAGGCATGTTGGTAGAAAACAGCAGACTCATCACTTTGCGAGTAAGAAGTAGAAGTTACTGTTGGGAAGCTACTCTTCTGGTCACTCAGACTAGGAGCAGCTGGCGTCTTTGGAATGCCTTCAGGTAAATGACCACCTGTTAGGACTTGCTGATAGAAAGTATCAGGCTGCTCTCTTTGTGAATACGAGACAGGGGCCATTGTTGATAAACCACTCTTCTGGTCAGCTTGTCCAGGAAATGCTAAAACTGTCAGTTCCTGACCAATTCGATAACCATCTGGCAAGCCTTCTTGATATAAAATACCGGGCTTTTCTCTCTGTGCATAGGAAGTAGGGGTTACAGGTGATGTCCCAGTATTTGGGGTAGCTAATCCAAGATGAGCTGAAGCTTTGGGAGCCTCTTCAGATAGAAGGCCTTCAGGGACAACCTGTTGATAGAAAATATCAGGTTTTTCAGGCTTTTTTCTATGTGAGTGAGTACTATTGGTTGACCAGTCTTGTGGTCAACCAGTGCAGAAACAACTGAACCTTTCAGAGCCTCCTCAGTTGGATAGCTTTCTGGAAATCCCTGCTCATAGAAAAAACTGGGTCTCATGTGAGTATAAAGAAGAGGGCACTGCTACTGCCCCAAGCTTCAGGATGGTGGGTACAGTAACAACAGACACTGCTGATGACTGCCCATTAGATGACCACCTGGAAAAATACGAGGCTTTTCCCTATGTGGGGAGGAAGAAGTGATAATATCTTCTGGCCAGCTAATTCAGGAATATTTGAAAGTTCAGACTCTCTTCAGTGAAATGACTATCTGTCAATACTTTCTGGTTTACAGTCTAAATGTGGGGACCAACAGTGTTCTGAGAACTTACAGCAAACTGAGTTAAATCTTCAAAAGGCAAAGATGAGCGTGTTTCAATGTCTGAATCTCCAAAAGTGTTAGTGATATCTGGTTTCAACTTGGATTGAGCAATTGCAACTTTGCCTCCTTTAGAAGTGTCTCCTTTAAAAAGAAAGAAAAACAAAAAATACAATGATTTGTTAATATTATATAAATACATATTTTTTAATTCACTTTTTTCTCTTTTGCCAATGAGATAATTCAGAAGGTAAAGCAACTGCTGAGCAAGCCTGACAACCTGGACTCATGTAAAGATAAAAGGAGAGAACTAACGAAGTTTTCCTCTGAGCTCTACTCACATGCCAGAGCCCACCTACACACACACACATACACACACACACACACACACACACACACACACAAAAAAAAAAAAAAATTTTGGAACTTTAAAATTTCCTCTTTTGTACACAAATATAAATAAAGGAAGAAAGCTTTATTACCTCAAGCCTTTAAATATTTAGAAATTAATTCTATGGAAATCATCAACAAATGAGACAGATGTACATGAAGATATTAACTATAAAATAAACTAAAGTAAAAATAACTAACAACAGAATTAATAGCTTAAAAATAACAGGACATGCACTTACAAAATATTATACGGTTCTTAAAATTGGGAATTTTTAAGAATTTTTAATTGGATGCAAAAATGTTAGGTCTGAGATTTAACTTTTTCCTACTTCCAATCTAAGAGCCTGCTATTATACCATGAGTGGTGCCAGGAGACATAAGACCCTCAGTTATAGAATAAGAAAAAAAGTACTATTATCCATGGTCCAAAAAACCACCAGCTTAACTTCAAGGTTTCTCTGGCTGACCTGAGTTCTATTCCCAGTACCCACACAGCAGCTTACAACCATCTATAACGACAGTTCCAGAGGATCAGTGCCCTCTTCTGACCTCTGTGAGTACCAGGCATGCACATGGTACAGATATACATGCAGTCAAAATATTCAAATAAAATAAAATAAATAACGTAAAAAATAAAAAATAAATTAGAAGAGATCTCTCTGGCCCTCAAGTCCAGTGGAAGCAATGAACTACAGTGCAGATGGACACTATGCATGTATTGGATTCAAATTACTTTCTCTAATATTTATTTTTTTAAAAAAAAAATGAAACTGTATAAGTCCCTAAGAAATTTGAACTATGTGGCACAGGGAGTTATTGACAGCTTTGATAGGAACCATTCTGCATAAATATGGATTCAAAGTGGGAAGGAAGGGAATGTGGACATCTGAGCAGCACAAACTAACAAAGCTTTCTGTAATGACAGAACTGTTCTATTTCAGTGTAAAAAAGGGATTTTAAATGAAGATAGGTCTAGCCATTTAAATATACCACAACACAAATGTCAAAAGTCTGACAGCTTGTTCAATCATCCAGTAAATTACTTAAGAAATATGTGTACTGTGTGTTCAGACATTGTTCCAAATACAAAATATAAAGCAAGAGACAGATAATCCTACTTCCCATACTACACATGCTAGCAGGAAAAATCACAATAAATAAACTGGCAAAAACATGGTTTGTCAAATGTTGGTGAGAAGGTTATTAAATATAACAAGTATTATCTATACTTTACATACAAGGAAAGTTTCCTTTCTCCACAAGAAAGCACTATATAATGGTGCTTCTAAATGTAGGGCTCTTACTAACATGCATACTCTTGATTCAACAGGTCTCAAGGTACAACCTGAAATTCCGTACTTCTACAAGTTTCACAGTGGTCTAGAGCTAGAGAACTTGAACCTTTCAATTCTAACTCTGACTTTTGACCCCTTTATACTGCAACTGAATCCCCTTCTCTAAAGCCATGTTGAGCTCCAAATGATAACTGAATGTTGGGAGAAACAAAGTGAGAAATGAGTTGTAAAGGCATAGAAGTATCAAGTATTAACTAAACGCAAAGGAAAATATGAAACGCAGTATAACCTGAGGAGAAAATTTTTGTGAGAAAGCCTCAAGAAGTTAATAAACCAGAACAGATCAACAAAGCAAAATCTTATTTTCCCCAAGATTTCCCAATTTATCTAAGTTTTTACTTCCTTTTGACCATTACAAAGTATTAGCAACACCATGAAGGAAGCAAATGAGATGAATGGCCAACGACTGAAGACATAACCCAGACCTCAAAAGATGTAGAGGTTTACATGAGATGATGAGACCTGGGGAGAAAGGAAAAGATTAGCAAAGGAAACTTGAAGAAGAGGTACAGGGTAAGCGGCTAAAAGGGCGAGAGACTCCTGGTGTTGAAGGAGAAATTTCCCCAGCTCTATGCAAACTCACAGGCATATACTTCAAAATATTAGAATGTAGCAAAAATCTTAAAAGGTTTTATTAATAAAAACAAACCTGGAGCCAGATATTGTTGTGAATTGTGAGAGATCAGAGAATTAGAACAAGCCACAGCCAACCTCACCTCGCCAATTCCTCAGCTGATTCTGTTTCCTCAAACTGGAAGCCTCTGTGTCCTCATCCAAATGGATCTCAACTGAACTGCTGCTAAAAACCTAAAAGCTTAAAAAGGCTCTAGTTCCTGGTCCTCATGCCTTATATACCTTTCTGCTTCCTGCCATCACTTCCTGGGATTAAAGGCATATGTCACCATGCCTGGCTGTTTCCAGTGTGGCTTTGAACTCACAGAGATCCAGATGGATCTCTGCCTCCAGAAAGCTAGGATTAAAGGTGTGTGTGCCACCATTTTCTGGCCTCTATGTCTGTCTAGTGGCTGTTCTGTTTTCTGACCCCAGATAAAGTTTATTAGGGTACAAAATATATTGGGGGACACAATATCACCACATCAGAAGCATCCACAGTCACAAGCCTAGTAATTATATTTGGAAGTGTTTGTGCAGGTAAAGAATTCATGATGACAGATGGCATGATTGTAGGTACTTTTTACTCTCTCAACCCTGGAAGAGAGAAATAAACACACCGAGTATTACTACTCAACTTCTAAATTCACGAAGATTGTTTTTAGAACTGGGTTGATTAAAATTTTGATTATAGAAAAGAAAGAAAATTGCCAGAAGAAAGCCATTAATAGACCATAATTGCCTTCCAATGTAAAAGGTGCACCTAATAGAAATGTGATCAAGACTAGAGAGTTGGTCAGGATTTGCTCAAGGATTCTTCCCAGAAAGCAAGTGCTTATTACAAAGAGGCCTCCTTAGAGGGCAGTCTTCAGTCAGCCTGAGTTAATAAAGCAAGTGCTCATTGCTCACAAACAACATGAGATGCCCTCCCAGTCTTCCATTCTACAGGCGACTAAGGGCAGCAGTTCAGCTGAGATTCATTCTGGATGAGGACACAGAAGCTTCCAGTCTGAGGAAACAGGATAAGCTGAGAAGTTATCGAGGTGAGGTTAGCTGTGGCCTGTTCTGTCTCTCTGATCTTTCAGAATTTACCCCAATGCCTGGCTCCCAGGTTTGTTTTTATTAATAAGACTTTCTAAGATTCGTGCTACAACTGAGTTGGAATGGTGAGTAAGCAGCCCTTAGTAACAACTAGTGAAAAAAGAGGCCATGAGTTTGAAGGAGAGTGGGAAGGGGTATATGGGAGGAGTGAGAAGGGAGAAATGTAATTATAACTTCAAAGATTAAAAAAATGGAGGAGGATTGAGTAAAAACAGAAATAAATATTAATTAGATAAAAATAACAGCTGGGTGGTGGTGATGCACACCTTTAAGAAGAGATCCACCTGCCTCTGCCTCCTGAGTGCTAGTTGTTACTACATGAGTGTGTGTGTGGATTCCTAAATATAACCTGCTCAGCTCATATAATTTACTTGTATATATGTTTTCAGAGCTGACTATTTGGCACTGGACAACTGTAACTTAGTCCTAGATGAATATTGAAAATACTTGAACTGAAAGAATACAGGTGATTAAAGAAACCCATCTAATTCTGCATATGCCAAGTTCCAATACAGAAATATAAGAAACATGAAAAATCAAGGGACTGTGATTCCTCTAAAAATTCCCATTTCTACAGTAATAAATTCCAATGAAAATAAAGTAGATTAAAAACCTAAGACAAAGAATTCCAAAAACAGATCTTAAGAATGTTCAACAAAATTAAAGAAAACATGAACAAACTCCTGAATGAATTCAAAGACAACACAAGCAGCCAACCAAACAAAATAAGGAAGCCAATACAAGATATAAAAGATGAACTCAATAAAGAGATAGAAATACTGAAAACTCAAATTGAAATTTTGGAAATAAAAGGCTAAGTAAGTCAAGTACACTGTGGAATTCACACCAAAGGACTGGATTGGGGCTCGAAGACAAGGTAAATGAAGGAGCACATTCAGACAACAATAAAAATAAAAATAAAATATAAACAGTACATATAAAACTATTGGAGGGCTGGAGAGATGGCTCAGAGGTTAAGAGCACTGACTGCTCTTCCAGAGGTCCTGAGTTCAATTCCCAGCAACCACATGGTGGCTCACAACCATCTGTAATGAGATCTGATGCCCTCTTCTGGCCCGCAGTCAAACATGCTGTATACATAATAAATAAATAAATAAAAAAAAATAAAAAATAAATAAATAAATAAAACTATTGGAAGACTACATTAACAAATCATGGCAAAGAAAAAGTACAGTCTAAAGGCAGAAAAAAATGTATTCAATGAAAAACTCCCCCTAGAGAAAGAGGTAGCCATCCAGATACAAGAGGCATTTAGAACACCAAATAGACAAGGCCAAAAGGGAATGTTGATATGACATATTGTAGTTAAATCATTAAGTATATAGATCAAAGAAAGAATATTGAAAGCTACATGAAAGAAATGCCAGTCACACAAACACAAACCTACCAGAGTAATATTAGATTTATCACAATAAATTTTAACAGCCCAAATAATATGGAACAATGTATGTGAAGCTCTGAGAGACAGCAACTGCCAACCAAGATTACTATAACCAGCAATGATGTCCTTCGTAAATGAAGAGAAACTTTCTATGATAAACATAAAGCAAAAGAGTTCATGGCCACAACTAAGTCAGCACTGGAGAAGACTCTTGAAGGAATCCTATATATTGAAGAGAGAGATAAACACATTCATAAGGTCATAGACGAAAGTAAGTTCTGCTAGATGAGTAACTTTTTCAAACAAAGACTAGAAAAGGACCAAATCTGACAAACAACAAAAGCAAAATGATATCCCTCATTATCATAATTCTGATACAATAACAACATAGTAATAGTGGGTTCACTTCACTATCACCAACAGACAGGTTACCAGAAAAAAATAATAACAATAGTTAACCAAAGAACCTTTAATGGACTTTAGGAGACTCCTATTGAACACCCCACCAAGCTTCACAAAGCATACTCTTCTTAGTAGCCCGAGACTATTTCCAAAACAGACCATACTTTAGCAAATCAAGTCTTAACAAATACATGAAAGTTGAAATAATTCCTTATATTCCATCTTATCACAGAAGAATAAAGCCAGAAACTAACAAGAGAAACTACAGAAAATATGAACAACACACTACTGAATGATGAATGGGTCAAAGAAATCAGGAGGGAATTTTTTTAAAGTCCTGGAAATAAATGAAAGCAAAGGCAAAAACCTGTGAGATGAAACAAAGCAGTTCTGAGAAGGAAGCTTATAGCTACACATATCCACATCTAAAAAGTCAGAGTTTTCAAATAAAGAACTTAATTACGGAACTCAAGTTCATAGAAAAATAAGAATGAGCCAAACGTGAGACCAGGAAACAGAAATATGGATCAGAACAGAAATTACTAAAATGGAAACCCAAAGAAGTGGTTCTTTGACAAAAGAAGGTTGGCAAATCCTTAGCCAACCTAACCAAAAGGAAGAATACCTAAATTAATAAAATTAGAGATGAAAAGGGGAGATATTACATCAGATAACAATAAAATTCAGAAGATCATTAAGGCATGCCAATATGAAAACTCATATGCCAATAAACTAGAAAATCTAAAAGAAATAGGTAAATTTCTATGTACATATTGTCTTAGTTATTTTTTATTGTCATGGAGATACTGTGACAAAGGCAGCCTATAAAGAAAGCATTTAAATTGGGGCTTACAGTTTCAGAGGGTGAGTCCATGACCATCATGGCAGGAAATATGGTAGCTGGCAGGCAGGCAAGCAGGTATGGCCCTGGAGCAGTAGCTGAGACCTTACATCTTGAGATACAACCACCAGCCAGAGAGAGGTAAGTGGGAATACTGTGGACTTTTGAAACCTCAAAATCCACTCACAGTAACACAAAGCCACTTCTCCTAATCTTTCCCAAACAGTTCCACCAACTAGGAACCAAGAATTCAAATAAATGAATCTATGGGAGGCCATTTTCATTCAAACCACCATACATGTTAACTACAAAAACTAAACCAAGATATAAATAACTTCAACAGATCTACAACAAGCAATGAGTCCGAAGAAGTTAAAAAAAAAAAATCAACTAAAAAAACGTCCAGGCCCATATGGTATCACTGCTGAATTCTATGGGACCTTTTCTAAAACTTTAAATATTTAATTTTCTTAGTGTGTGTGTGCACACACAAATACTAGTTGTGGTGGTTTGAATAAAAATGGCCCCCATAAGCTCATATATTAGAATGCTTAATTACCAGGGAATGGAACTCTTTGAAAGGATTAGGAGGATTAGAAAGTGTGGCCTTGTTAAGGGGAAGTGTGTCACTGGGTGTGGGCTTCTGAGGTTTCAAAAGGCCATGCCAGGCCCAGGGACTGACTCTGCCTGTGGGTCATGATAAGGTCTCAATGCTACTCCAACTCCTCTGTGTGCTGCCATGCTCCCTGTCACTATAATGGACTAAGCCTCTAAAACTGTAAGCAAGCTCCCAGTTAAATGCTTCCTTTTATAAGAGTTGCCTTGGTCATGGTGTCTCTTCACAGCAATAGAACAGTGACTAAGATACCAGTTTAACCTTGTGCATTCAAGGTCAGAAGACAACATTCAAAAGTCAGTTCTCTCTAGGGATCAAACCCCAAGTTTTTACAGCAAGTGCTTTTGCCCTCAAGCCTTCTCTCTGGCTCTCTACCATTTAAACATTATTTATCTTTATGTACATGGGTGTATTGTCTGAATGTCTGTGCACCACATACATGCAGTACCTGCACAGGTCAGAAGAGAGTGTGAACTGGAGTTATAGATGTTGTTAGCTACCATGTGGATGCTGGGAATCAAACCCAGGCCCTCTAGAAGAACAGTCAGTGCTCTTTAAACATTAAGTCATCTCTCCAGCCCTTACCAGACCTTTGAAGAAGAACCAATAATGATCCTCAAAGTATTCCATATAATGAAAAAGGAAGGGACACTACTAAATTCATTTTATGAAGCCAATATTACCCTGATACCAATGATGGACAAGGACCCACAAAAAAGAAAATTAAAGGCCAGTACACCAGAAGAACTCGAACATTTAAAATCCTAGTAAAATATTTGCAAACTAAATTCAATAATACAATATAATGATCATTTACCATGAATGACCAAGTTAGCTTCATTCCAGGGAATGTAAGGATGATTTGTCATATCTAAGTCAATAAGCATAACATACAACATATATAGACTCAGACAGAAATCATACAATCATCTCAACAAATATAGACAATACCTTTGACAAAGTCCAACACCCCTTAATGATGAAAGCCATGAAGAAATTAGAAACAAAAGAAACATATCTCAATATAATAAAGGCTACATATAAGTCAGTATTTTCCTAAATGGGAAAAAACTGTAAGTCTAAGGGTATCTACCATCTCCACTCTGATTAAATATATTATTTGAAGTCTTACCTATAACAACTAAAGAAAGAAAAGAAATGCAAATAGACAAGAAAAAGAAGTCAAAGTACTCCTGTTTGCACACAATATGGTCATAGACTTAAGAAATAGGACTTAGTGAGATGGTTCAGCAGGTTGAGAGGGCTTGCCATACACTCCTGGCAACCTGAGTTCAATTCCCAGAACCCATAATGGAAAGAGAAGACCAACTCTCAAAAGCTGTCCTCTAAAGTCCACCGGCACTGAAGAGAGCTGACCAGTCAGCCTGGCAAAAGATGGTTTCTAAATGTATTTTCTTCCAAAGCTCTCTAGCTTAGTGGTGTCATCTATGTGAATGTTTAAGGAGACTTTTCTGGTCCAACTTTTTTTGGGGGTGGTGGTAGGGGGAGGGAGACAAGGTTTCTCTTATGTAGCTTTGGAGCCTTTCCTGGAACTCACTCTGTAGCCCAGGCTGGCCTTGAACTTACAGAGATCCACCTGGCTCTGCCTCCCAAATGCTGGGATTAAAGGTGTGCGCCACCACCGCCTGGCTCTGGTTCAACATTAAAGGACTTAGAATGACTGCCCATTTTCACAGAAAAGGAAGAAAGCCTCAGATGATGATGCTTATAGATTTGGAGTTTGGCAAGGGCCTCTTACAAATAGAGGATGCCATTGTACTGTGTTCATATGTGGGGAGGGTGGCAAGGGATCACTCCAAGGTCCATTTTAATTGGCACTAAGAGTCCTTGTGATCTAATTACCTTCCAAAGGCTCCTTTTCCTTATGCCATCACTGGGAGAGTAAGAATTTCAATGTGAACTTTTCAGGGGACACAATCATTCAGGCCATAATGAATTCACATCTTCACAGAGGGACATTTTTCATGACTTAAAGGCAAAAGTAATTGAGCTCAAGAGAGGTATGGATGCAAAAAATCTTGTAAAGAAGAGCATGGGAGATCATTTTGAAGAGGAAAGCAGTATTATCTGCTGAGGGAGGATGGTTAATGGTAGAAGCAGTTGAGATCTGAGAAGAGTAGCCTGTTGAAAACTTAGAACTTGTCAGGCATGGTGGCACACACCTTTAATCCCAAAGCTCAAGGCAGAGGCTGGTCTACACAGTGAGTTCCAGAACAGCCAGAATTACATAGTGAGAACCCTGTCTCAAAAAAAAAAAAGGGAGAAAAAAAAACAAAATAGAATTTACATTGAAAGAAAAACTAGATGGAAATGACTAACAAAAAGATTGGCAGATAATTCTCAGAAGTAAATTGAGATTGGAGAGAATGATTCTGTGATATTAGTCTAAGGAAGCTGATGGTATGGCCATTATTCCATGCCCAAAAGTCTCAAAATCAGTGATGCCAACAGTGTAACTCAGTCCACGAGTAAGGGCCGAGAAACTACTTAAAGGTCAATAACCTGGTTTCTGACTTTCAAGGGCAAGAAAGTGGTGTCCCAGGGTGCCCTTTTGTTCAGTCCAGGACTCAACCAATTAGACGGACTCACAATGGTAAGGCACATCTTCCTTATTAGGTCTGCTTATTCAAATCTCTTCCTCAGATACTCTTACAGGTATATATAGAAATACTGTTTTACCAATTATCTAGTGTATTGGTTAATTTTTTTGCCAACTTAACACAAGCTACAGTAATCTGAAAGGAAGAAACCTCAACTGAGAAAATGCCCCCATAAGGTCCGAGTGTAGGCAAGCTGTGGGGCATTTTCTTGATTAATGATTTATGTGGGAAGGGAACACCCAGCCATCATCAGTGGATGATGCTACCCACTGTGCAGATGGTCCTGGGATTGCCTTGAAGGAGGTGGGAATGGGGGGTAAATTAGGGGAGAAGGCTGGGGGTTGGGAGGAGGGAGGACAGAGGAATCTGTGGCTGATATGTAAAATTAAATTAATTATAAAATAAAAGTTTAAAAAAAAAAAAGAAAACAAATAGAGCAAGCCAGGAGGAGCCAGCCAGTAAGCAGCATTTCCTCTGTGGTTTCTGCTTCAGTTCCTGCCTTGAGTTCCTGCCCTGACTTCCCTGAGTTATGGAGTGTGTGACCTGAGAGTTCTAAGATGGCCAAGGTGTTAACAGGGTAATACTGGGCATCCCTTAATCCATTAAATTGCTAGAAAGGCATAGCAAGATAATATTCATGAGCTAGATATAAGGAGGAAATGTAACGCCTCCATTTTCTACATACATACCTGCTGAACGTGTAGGAGCTGTTGGCAGAGTGTCAGGAGATACCCTCAACATTCTGAGATTGGGGGAATAATATTTTGATTCACCGGTTGGTTCTTGAGGAACAAATGAAGGCAACGGAGATGGAAAAGGCTGGCTAATGCCCAGATCAGAATGGTCTACCTACGAAATTAGAAAAGAAATGAAGAAAAAAGATTAATTTGACACTTAACTTGGCTAAAAAACAAACCTCATTATTATAAAAATGAACACTGAAGAGGCTTAATAATTTTTATTTTATTTAAACTTTTTTAACTTCATTTCATTTTACATGTGTGAGTATTTAGCCTGCATGTATGTATGTGCAACTCGTACTGAGTTCAAAGGAAGTTGTTGGATCCCCTGGAATGAGTTACAGATGATTATAAGTCACCATGTGGATACTGGAAATAGAACCCCGGTCTTCTTCAAGAACAAGTTGGGGCTGGAGAGATATTGCAGCAGTTAAGAGTACCAGCTGCTCTTCCAGAGGATCTGAGTTCAATTCCCAGCACCCATATGGCAGCTCACAACTGTCTGACTCTAGTCTGAGGATGCAATACCCTCTTCTGGTTTCCAAGGGCACTGAATATATGTCGTGCACAGATATACATTCAGGCAAAACATACACAAAATAAAGTACATCTTTAAAAGAACAACAAGTACTCTTCACCAATCACCTACCTCCCCAGCCCAACACACTGGGGAGTTGTACCAGTTACTTACGGTCATATTCTTCCCAAGTGTGGTGGCATATGCCTGAAATCTTAGAAGACTGAGGCGATCACATGTTTGAGGCCAGTGGAAGCTAACAGTGAGATCTGGGCCAGTCTAATGACAGGGTGAGACTTATATTCTCAGCCATTTGCATTCATATACAGATCATATTTTGTCTGGTGAAGACACCATTGATGGTTCTGTGGTTTAGAACGCTGCCTTAGAGAATACTGCATATTGGTAACTAGTGGCATTAAAGCATAAACGTTAATAAATCTCCACTGAATTCATAGGATACTTAGGTAAAAACATACAGCACTATCAGGTTTATAAAAGATTAGTCTAGTCATGCCCTCTCAGAAAGGAATCCAAAAACAAACAGCATAATTTCATGTATTCATTTATGTCTGTTTATTTACTTATTTAGAGACAGGATATATATATATATATATAATGAGGCAGAATCTCATGTAGCCCGGGTTGACCTCACACTCCTCCCTACATAGCTGAAGCTTGCTTTTAACTCCTGATCCTCCTGTCTCTACCTCTCATGTACAGAGATTATAGACATACACTACTTATATTTCTTGTTTGTTGGGTTTTCAGTTCTCAAGAAGTTGGCAGCCAGGTATATGAAAGCCAGGTATATGAATTAATATTTTACTTCTATTTCCCTAAATACTTTTCTAAGCCTAGTAGCTCTCTTTTGGGAAAGTCCTGTGCATTGCAAAGAGAAATCTAATAGTGTCAGGAAACATTTTTCACTGTCATAACTGGTGAGAACAGGAGTGTAGGATAGGGAGCTGCTAGAGATGCCAGAAAACAGACTAAAATACAGTGGTTCTCTAGATCAAACAAATATATAATCCAAAATATAAGTGCTGAGAAGCCCAGAATTTTTCTTTCCTTTTTTTTTTTTTTTTTTTTTTTTTTTTGGAGCTGAGGACCGAACCCAGGGCCCTGTGCTTGCTAGGCAAGTGCTCTACCACTCAGCTAAATTCCCAACTCCGAGAAGCCCAAAATTTTTATGACAAGAATCCCACTCTTAAAGATTTTTTTTTTTTTTTAGTATAGCTTGCGGGAGGAAGGCAGAGTAGGAGGAGAGGAGGAGATGTAGGTGGATCAAGAGAGTGTATTAGTCTTCTCCCACTGCTTCCAAATAAAGGAAGAAAACGTACTACAATCTGAACTTCAATAAAATGTGGTATTATCAAACCTTCAAATCTAAAGAACTATTAGAGCAGGTAATACCAAAGAAAATACATATAACTTTGTGACCTGTTGGCTATAGCCAAATGAAGAGATAATAATGTAGAATAAAAGGATGAGAAGTATTTAACAGACCAACAGATCTGAGGGAACTATTTGAAAATGAAAGGAACCAAGAGGAAAATGTTAAGATTTATTTCCCATTTTTTAAGTTTGTGTGTGCAGTGCTGGGGAATAAACCCAGGGCCTTGGACATGCTAGGAAAATGCTCTTTCACTAAGCTAGGTCTTCAGCCCCTTAATTATCATCTTTTTAATATTTATTTTTTATTTATTTGTTTATGTATGTATGTTTATTCCATGGAAACAGGTGCCCTCAGAGGTCAGAAGAGGGTGCTGGACCCCCTGGAGTTTTGGTTACAGGTGGTTGTAAGGCACCTGTTATGAGTGCTAGGAACTGAACTTAGGTCCTCTGGAAATTCCTATTTTAATCAATGAAAAGAGAATAAAAGATGAGTAAGAAACTTGAGAAATGCTAACACTCTTTACAGAAGCAGAGTCTGCAGGATCAGTCTGATTTGGGGGAAAGTATGAGCTCTCTTAATATAAACAAATTGCATTTGAGGTGAACATAATGTTCCTTTTTTTTAAAAAAAAAAAATTCATGTAAGATACCATAAAGGGCCTAACTCAGAAAACATTATCATCTAAAAGTACAATTGATAGCAATCCAGAAAACTAGACCTTTTTTTTTGTTTAGTTTTGTTGTTGTTGTTTGTTTGTTTGTTTGTTTGTTTGTTTTCAAGACAGAGTTTCTCTGTGTAGCCCTGGCTGTCCTGGAACTCACTTTGTAGACCAGGCTTGCCTCGAACTCAAGAGATCTGCCTGCCTCTGCCTCCCAAGTGCTGAGATTAAAGGTGTTCAACACCACTGCCCAGTTAGAAAACTAGACCTCTTGAGGAGAGGGTTAGCGGTTCAACAGAAGGCAGTTCATCATACAGTAGTTAAGAACATAATGAGGTTACTTTCCTATTGATATCCTTGTATACTGAATCACGATCCTAGAAGTATTCACTGGAAAACTGGATGAAAATAATCCACACTAATCCAGTTTGAGAGGATAGACTAAGTGAACTACCATGTACCTGAAGCTCTTGGCACTGCACTGGAGCAGACTGTCAGCCATTATTTCTATCCCCACTCTCATCATATTGAAAATTCAAACAATGTCTATTTTAGAATATTGAAGAAACAAAATTGACCCCATAAAACTTTCTTACATAGTCAACAACCTATACATAAAAGGAAAACTCTTCATGCTACCTTTGTTCATCTTCTTGCATCGACTTCTAAACCTGAACAAGATACAAGGACACACCACAAGTGAGACCCGTGTGGTACTGACAGCACCACACAAACAAGGTGGGACTCAAGGAAACTGAAAGCCAAGACGGTCCAAAGATCCAAGCAAACGATGCCTTACAAAGCATTTTAATAAGTCCCTAGAGTCACTCATTTTCTAGTACAGACACATGACAACAGTGGCATAAACAGATTTGGGGTTGCAGGGGTACAAGCTTAGGGAGTTCATAAGAGAAGGAGGCAGTTAAATCCCTTCAGAAAGACTGACTAGTTTGGATTCTAAGCACTGTCGTATTCTTCCCAGGAAAACAATGATGCTTCACATTTCCTTAAATGCCTGAAGTCAAAATTTTCAAGAACTCTAAACAGAAATACTTGAGTATCTCAAGGCTGGTGCACTAAAGACCAGAGGGAAAGCACAACTGAATGTTCTCATGAATATGTCTAGTTTTCACATGTTCCAAAGATTCTTGCTGGCCCAACACGAAAAAGATACCTCAAGATAAAAAGCCTAGAGGGCCCAGTGTGGTTGGTGGTGGACATCTTCAATCCCAGCACTTGAGAGGCAGAGGAAGGAGAGCTCTCTGAGTTCAAGGCCAATCTGGTCTACAGAACACACTCCAGAACAGCCAGAACTACATATAGACACCTTGTCTCAAATTAAAAAAAAAAAAAAAAAAAAAAAGATAAAAAGCCTAGACTTCCAAAAGACACCTTTTTCTAAGACACCATAAAACTCATGAAGTGAAGCCAAGCAGTAATGGTGCATGCCTTTAATCACAGCACTCAGGAGGCAGAGGCAGGCAGATCTCTGTGAATTCGAGGCCAGCCTGGTCTATACAGCAAGTTCCAGGACAGCCAAGGCGATACAAAGAAACCCTGTTTGGCAATATCAAAAGTGTCGTGGTCTGTGAAACAATCTTTCTGTCAACACTTAGTAGATCATAGTCCTGGGTATGAATTGAAGACCACACTGTGAGTCAGAATTGGTATCAAAAGATAAATGAGCCTTTGACTTTCATTTTTCTTTTCAACTAAAATATTCCTTTCCCTATCCATAAAAAATGTCAAGTAACCAAAAAAAAAAAAAAAAATGTCAAGTAGAGTAACTTACAGACTTTTCAAAATGGCTCTCCTCAGATGATAGTTGTGAAGTAGGTAGCCTAAACAAGGAGCTGTCATAAAGATAATCAAGCATTGTCTCTAAATCTGCGAGCTCCAAGTACTCACCAGTTAAGCCTTGCAGATCCCATGTTTGGGAAATTGTAAAAAGTAAAAACAAACACCATTTCCTGAATCAGTACTGAAAAAGATCATATTTCTACAACTACCATTTCACTGTATCTCACCTTTCTTTGCAATTCAGCAACTTTTTCACTGTGTACATCAGCAGTTTTATATAGGCTGGAGTACTCAACATCACCATGCAGAGTAACGATGCCAGACTCAGCCTTCCCCTGCAGGCCTTTTAAAAAAAAAAATAGTCATGTTGCATAACTGTATATACAATGAAGCTAGACTCAGCTTGGCCTTCTTCAGCTACCAGCATACCTCTTAGCTCACTGTAATCAGTGATGCATCACCAGTCAGTGTTAAAGCAAAGTGGGACTTGCATCACATGCTGCCAAGTTTGCTGACAAGCTGTTCCACACAGGAGAAGACAGAACCTTCAACAGGGTTACTATAGTTTACATCCTTACCAAATTATAGTCTGAGGAATCTGCAACTTCTTTCAGAGATCTGCTACTTTAAATCTTGTAAAACCCAAGAATCTGAAGGTGATACTTTCATTGTAAAAATAATGTTTGAAGATCCTACCTTCTCTGCAAGGTCAAGATTGCTTACATCATACTGAAATGAAGGTGACTGTGTTTCCCCAAGACTAACAGCCCTGTTGTAAGCTTTTTCACTTAAAGGAGATGACTTAAGCCCTGGAATAACAGAAAGAGGCTTACTGAGCATGTTCTGAGGAGCATTAGGGGGTGACTTTAAATCTGGATCCCAGGATAGGGAGCTACCACCATCATCTTCTTTATGCAACAATGGTTTTGAAGCTGCTGGTTCAAACACCCCAGGAGTAGACTGGTATTTTGGATGCTTAAGCTTATCCATGAAAGACTTTTCATCATTATAATTTAATGGGGGAAGATCTGGTTTTGGGGGTTCTCTCTCTTGGCTGTCATCTGCTAATGGCTTATTGATGTCAGTTTGGATTTCACTTATAGGACTCTCTTGCTTGGAAGGCTCAATTGAGGCAATAACTGCCTCAAAGGCTACATTTTCAGTAGCATCAACATTTTTCTCACCAAAAGTAGAAGCTGCCTTTTGGTTTCTTTCCTCTTGAAAATATAGTTGTTCTGCTGTCTCATCCAAGTTGGATTTAACTGTCTGAAGGGGACCATCAGAAACCTCCAGCTTAGAGATTTCAAGTCCTCTGGAGAGTATATGTGCTTCTGAAACTCGTTCATGACTATCAGGGACGGCACCCATCCCAATAAACTTTATCTCAGGAGATTTGGCATGCACCTCAGATGATGCCAAAATATTTCTAATCTCCTTTTGCTTAAAATATTGAGATAATTCTTTCTGCAGATCTTCATTTCCTCCAAAGCTCTCCAAAGGATCCATCTTTGGACTCAGATCATCCTCACTTGGAGTCCTTAAACAAACACTCTCAAGATGGTTAACAGAGGTAAAGGGATCCCCTTTTCCTCTTTCCAACATGCATCTCAGGAAAGAATAGGATGTTTTATCAGGAGGAGGAGGAATAACTTCGCATGGGAAGGAAGCCTCGTCCTTACTAGCCAGACATGCTTCTGTCTGTTGGAAGGCTTCCTGTTTCCAATACTGAGTATGTGAACAAACAGAATCAAAATCATTGTGGGTTTTAGCACCTATGCTTTCATCACTAACATCGGATAAAGTGGAGGTGGAAACTTGGTCTTTATCAGCCAAGTTGCCTTCTGGCTGCTGAGTATCCTTTTCCGTCTGCCATGACATAAATGAAAGCAGGGCATCATAATGATCAGAGTCCTTCGGGTCTTTCAGGTCATCAGGAGCATTAGATGGTGCATTCTCTCCATTGTTCTCTTGTTCAGACGGGAAAAGAGAGTGCTGAGACCCAAAAGTTGTGCTACCTGTAAGTGGATGTTGAGATATACTAAGGCAACTGTTAACTAAGTCTGAAGATGTTTCTGAGGTGGCCTGGAATAAAGCTTCACTAACTTCTGACGGCCGAGCAAGCCATTCGGAATCTTCCGACTTATCAGGAATCCCTCTGAAAATACAAAGTTATAAAGAAATAATTAGCACCTTAATACTTTAATTTTTAAATACTAACAAAAAAATACAAACCCAGTTTACTTGAAAGTGCTTTTTTGCCAAGCGGTGGTGATGCATGCCTTTAATCCCAGCACTCGGGAGGCAGAATTCAAGGCTATCCTGGTCAATTTCAGGACAGCCAAGGCTACATAGAGAAACCCTTTCTCAAAAAACAAAAACAAAACAAACCAACCAACAAACAAAAAAGTTCTAATCTTCAATTCCTACAAGGTAGTTAAAGATTAAACAAAGAAAATATTGCAACTAGTGAACCTGATATTGCCTCGACATTCTCTAAAACAATCAATTTGAATATTACAAAAAAAAGTTTAAAAGTCTGAAATAACATTTTAATAAGGTTTACTATTTTAAACACATGCTACCTAGTATGAATTATAGTCATCTAACTTGCATTTCTCTGCTTACTGGTCAGTTTATTATGCTTATGGTCTACTCCCAAAATACTACATAGCTTAATCACTTTGATAATCTAATGTTAACAGAGAACTTTGCAATGTGATTCTAAAGTAATACATAGTATAATGACAGAGGGTATACAAGTTTACTTTCTAAACATCTAGAGTTTTGAGTTTAAGGTAGAGTTTTCTTTCTGTTCTAACAGAAAACAAAGCCTTGGACAATTCTAAGTATGTTTTTGAAGAATTACAGAACATCCTTCCATTTTGAATGTTCTAAAAGACATCATTTGAAATTTATTATAAAAATCTTACTTGATATTTGCACATAGTATAAAGAAAGCTAACAAAACTGATTCAATAACAGCTGAGCAAAATGAAAGTACAGACCAATCAGTATCCTAGAAATGACTGCTTTCTTTGCAGAATTAAGGCAGGATGGAGGGGAAGGACAGTGGCAACAAATAGAGAGATTTAGAATAAGGAAACTCAGGGTACTGAGTATGCCTAAAGTATGCCTAAAGTGCTACACAAACCATATACCATTTGTAAATGAACTGCAGTCACCTGGTACATCTCTGCATGCAAAACACTGCACCAATTTAATACCAAAATGGAATAGGAATACCTAACCCCTACTCCCAATCCCACTTTGGCTTGAAGCCATTAATACTAATAACAACTTACAATAAGAGTAGAAAGTTTAGGGCTGGAGAGATGGCTCAGAGGTTAAGAGCACTGACTGCTCTTCCAGAGGTCCTGAGTTCAATTCCCAGCAACCACATGGTGGCTCACAACCATCTGTAATGGGATCTGGTGCCCTCTTCTGGCCTGTAGTCATACATGCTGTATACATAATAAATAAATCTTTAAAAAAAGAAAAAAAAAAAAAGAGTAGAAAGTTTAGAAGGCAAAAAAATGAATCACCCTACCTCAAAGGTGCAAATTCTTGTTCACTTTGTTGAAACAAGGAATCAGACTCAAATTCCTGGTCTTGTGTTAAACATGTCAGCAAAGGCAAATCAGAACCAGCAAAGTTATCCTGTATGACTGCAAAATTTCAAATGTAAAAACACTGAGCATTCAAGAAGTGCAGTATTTGGCGTACAATTATAATACTTTAAAGCATCTAAACATGCTACCACCTGGAAGATTCTACAATCATTACAATAATAATTTACAACAGCAGCAACCATCTATGGCACCTGAAAAAGCCCAAGCATTTAGCACACAGTATTTCATTAATCCATGACAACTTAAAAATAAGTACCATTTACTAAAGCTACCTTATAGGTGAGGGAACATGATTATAAAATCTAATATTATTAAATAATTTCATATGTAAGGGTAAATGCCAGAATTCTGACTTCTTTGCAAATTACTATATAATTTAGGTGTTTGACCCGTGGTTTCCCCATGCTTCTCATCTGTTTCCCCATGAACTGCTTTCCTGGGAATAGTTTCTGCCAAGCTATAGGGTTCACACTAGGTAATTAGACAACTTTTCCTTTTGTAGATTATGCTGTGGTGAGTTTGTTCCATTCACAATACATGGCAGAAATTCCATCTATGTATGTGTGCATTCTTTATCCTGAGGAACCCTGGGCTATTTCATGACTTTTTTTTTCAATCAAGTTTTATATTTTTCACAGAAAATAATAGATAATAGAACAGGAGGACTATAATCTCTCACACTTTTTAGTTTATGAATCATGTTTTAAAATGTATTTTTGTTTTATATCCTGATAAAACATATATAGCATAAAATTCATAATCTTAACTTTTTTTTTTTTGAGACAGGGTTTCTCTGTGTAGCTTTGGAGCCTGTCCTGGAACTCACTCTGAAGACCAGGCTGGCCTCGAACTCACAGAGATTCATCTGCCTCTGCCTCTTGAGTGTTGGGATTAAAGGCATGTGCCACCACCACCTGGCTATCTTAACCATTTTTACATATACCATTTAGTGTCATTAGTATGTTTATAATGTTGTGTGCTCACTACCTTTCCAGAATTGTTTGCTTCCTTCTGTACTGCATCCATTAGACAATCCACCATTCTCCCCTCCCTAGAGCTCAGGTAACCTCTGATTTACATGTCATCTCTATAAATTAGGCTGGTCCGGGCACCTCCCGTGAGTGGGTCCCACAGGATTTGTCAGTGTGACTGGCTGCTCTCACTTAATGTAATGATTTCAGGTTCACCCATGCTGTAACTTGTATCATTCTTCCATAGAGCTGAGAAACATTCCTTTAGCTGGACTTTCTTTATCTGTTCATCTGCTGGTGACATTTGAGTTTCTTTAACCTTTGGGCTGTTAGGAACTTTGCTTCTCTGAACATGCCTGTGCTGACAAATAACACTTTTGTATGTCCTTCCTGCATACTGTCTTCTATCTTTCCATCCATATTAAATAGAGTATATCATTTATAAATTATAATATTATAACTACAAACATATAATTTTTTGGAGATATGCCTGTCTCTTTTTCCCCAGTCCTGAGACTGAAGGCATGTACCCCACATCCCTATTAGAAATCATCTTAAGTATGCAATGGTATTAGATTGATTATACTCACTGTCCTATACTCATATAATGAAATATAACCATTAAGAATATAAGGCTTGGTCCTCTTGTGGGACTCTCGGCAGACAGAGCAGGGACTGTCTCTAACTCTGTTGCCTGCTCTTGGGACCTTTTCCTCCTGATGGGTTGCCTCATCCAGCCTTAATAGGAGAGGAGGTGCCTAGTCTTCCTGCAACTTGACATGCTGTGACTGGCTGATATACATGGGAGGTCTGCACTTCTTTGAAGGAAAGGGAGAGAGAGAGAGTGGATGGGATGGGGAGCTGAAGGGAGGGATTGGGAGGAGAGGAGGAAGGAAGGGAAAACTGTGATTGGGCTGGGGAAAATTAATTAATTGATCAATTAATAAAACATGTATTGTTCAATCTTCAAAAAATATATATTTCTGAATATTTAGTGACTTAAGAAAATGTTTATTATAAATTAAGTGTCCCTAAAATAAATTAAGTGTGAGGCATAAAAATAATAATAATAATAATAATAATAATAATAATAATAATAATAATAATAATTTAGGTGTTTGTTGACAATTAAAGCATGTCTCTTTTTATTATATTTTTATTGTGTGTGAGTGGTTAGGTGGGTGGGTGGATGTGACCATGCAATAATGCTCAAATGGGAATCAGGAGACAACTTGCAGTAATCATTTCTCTCCTTCCATTATGTAGGTCCCAGGGATCAAACTTAGATCAGGTTTGGCAGCAGATGCCTTTGCCTTTGCCTACTAAGTCATTTTGCTGGCCCCTCAATCTTAAGTAATATAAAAACGTATACCATTATATCAAAGTTGAGGGCTCTTAGGTGATGAGGATCAAAATTATATTCAAAATAATATTAAAACAAGACCTGCCTTCTAAAATATATTTTTGTTTTACAAAATAGCTGTCTAGAAAATGATGTACAATGTTAATATACAAATAACAGTGTGGCCAGTTTTAAATAAACATTCCTTAAATCTTCTGTTTAAGCTCTACTATGAGAAGATATCACAAAAACAAATACTCTTTGGAGTTCTAGTTCTGAAATATATAAAATAAGTATGCTACCTAAAGAGTATGAAAACTTGCTTTAAAGAAAAAAATACCATGGTTTCCTTCCATCTTAAGTAATTCTTTGTTGTTGGTGGTGGTGTTGGTGGTGTTGGTTCAGGGAGGAGTGATTTAGTTTTTGGTTTTTTTGAGACAGAGTCTCTCTATGTAAGCCCTTGGCTATCCTGTAATTCTCTATATAGATCAGGATGGCACAAACTCAGAGATCTACCTGCCTCTGCCTCTCCCTTCCAAGTGCTTAAGAAATTATGTCATTAAATATATAAAAAACTAGTATAAAATCCTTATTCCCTATAGCACTTAAACAATTATAAAACAAAAATTAAATATTCATAGAAATAAAAACAGCAGCCTACTAAAATTGGCTTTAATGATATGTTGCTAAAACTAAACTGTTTTTTCAACATGAATTTAATAATTGCTACAGCACACTTTCTTGATTTCAACTATGTACACAGTGAGGACTCTGCCCTGGCACCAGCCTTCACCCTGGAATTCTCACGAAGAATTTTTGTTCACAGGGCTTTATCGTCCCTCACTTGGGGCCTTAATGCTCTCACTGCTCTGAATTCTGCACACTTGCTTGATTCCTCTAAAACTCCACAAAGCTGCTTTATCACAGATATATCCTCAACGACAAGCAAAGCATCAGCTACTCTTAGTGGATATTCAAATTAAAACTATTTACTGAACTGGTTAAAAATAAGAACTGGGGGGAGGGCACTCACCAACCTAAGACAGAGCACCTGTGTGGCCTGGGCAGGCGTCTCCATGACGGGTAAGGTGACCTGCTGATGTCCCATGCAACCCAAGTCAGAAGCTCATAGAAGCTCCTAAGCTTTTAATAAAAGGGGGACCTGTAGGTCCCTGGCCCCCGTTTTGGGTAACTGTTGCCTTTTGTGGACCTTGACCTTGATATCCTCCCTATGCTAATTTCCTGCCAGGTTCCCACCCTCCTGAAAGCTAAAGGGAAGTTCCTTGTCTGTGTATCCTAAATAATGGGCGTTAAGAGCTTAGACACAAGATTGTAAAACATCAGTAGCGAACTTCTGCCCTCTGGGGTTCTCCCATTGTGCTGTAAACCTGTATTTAAGACCTCCTCCCTCTTCAATAAATGACATTCGGCAATTAAAATTAAATATATATATATATTACATATATACATACTGCGAATGTAATCTATGAATACCACAAATGTGATTAATATCATGTGTTATTAATGAATATCATGAGTGTAATTTAAAGAATTAAATAAATTCTTTTTTTAAAGAATAAAAATAAAAAAGAATAAAAATAAAAAAAGAGAATAAAAAAAATAAGAACTAGGTAGTAACTTTCAAAATAAAATGTTAGTCAATAAAGTGCTTTTGCTCAAGCATGAAAACCTGAGGTCAATTCCATGAACTGATGTAAAAAAGTTAGACATGGCCAGGCGGTGGTGGTGCACACCTTTAATCCCAGCACTCAGCAGGCAGAGCCAGGTGGATCTCTGTGAGTTCAAGGCCAGCCTGGTCTACAAAGCGAGATCTAGGACAGGCACCAAAACTACACAGAGAAACCGTCTCGAAAAAGAAAACAAACAAACAAAAAAATTAGGCATGGTGTTGCACACTAGCAAGTCCAATGTTGGAGAGGTAAAAATGGCAGGTACTGACTCACATGGCAGGGAGCCAGTCACATCAGTGAGTTTCAGGCCAGTGAGTGACCTTGTCTCAAAAAAGAAAATGGACAGCTCCTGAGGAACAATACCTGAGGTTGATCTCTGGCATGCACAAGCACAGTATACATTTGAAACACACACACACAGGAAAACTTTTTAACATCAGAGAAAATGTAATATGGTTCATCTTTGGCACTGACTTAGAAAATCATTTTTGAACCTTCAAAGCAGATGATCTTCACCACTGGAAGAATCAACAAGGTTTTGAAAAAGAAACTGGGGCTTACACCACAAAGGACTTGGGTGGGTACAAGAAATTATTTTCAATTAACTAGATATACAACTTCACCAGCTTTCTGTTTTCAGTGCTTTCCTTCACTGCCTAAGCCTAGCTGTCCTGAAACTGGATCTGTAGACCACGATGGCCTTAAACTCAGAGACCTTTCAATTACATCTTCACCAGCTTTCTGTTTTCAATGGTTATTCTTCACTGCCTAAGCTTGGCTATTCTGGAATTTGCTGTGTAGACCAGGCTGGCCTCAAACTCAAGAGATCTACCAGCCTCTGCAGTGCTGGGATTAAGGCTTGCACCACCACACCCAGCTCTAAGCTTTTCTTTAGTTCCTTTTCACAAATTGGAAGTTTAGCTGGGTGGGATCTTCCCTGAGCTCACCACTCCCTTTATTCCATTTCTTTCTTTCTTT